TATTTTTATTTGTTTAATACACGGGATAACCTCATTAACAGTTTAAATTACAATATACAATATCACAATTAGTGACAACCTATCTTGACTCTCTGATTTCTCCCAGATGTAGAGTTTTTAATCCATTTCACAAACATGCCATGAAAGTCTACATTAATTACATTTGGTCTACATTTGGCCAAAAGTATTTGGTTATCTACATGATCAAATGCTTTGGAAAAATATGTGTATATTGCATCTACCTGTTTACGGCCTTCAATATGAGATAATATATCAGATTGATAGCAAATCAAATTTTTTGCAGTGGATTTTTTGCTATGAAAACCATGTTGTGATTGAGATATTACACCTTTACATAACTAAGAAAGTTGCTTTACTATAAGACTGTCGAAGAGCTTAGGGGATTGCAGATTGTATACAAATGCTACTTAAATTTCAACATTGTCTTTCTGACCATTTTTATATATAGGAACAACAAAACTTTCCTTCCATGAAGAAGGAAACAGAGGTTTGCAGAGGTCTAATAAACAATATTACAAGGGTATACATACACTTTTTAATAAAAAATTAGGCACATCCTCTGGACCAGCAGTAAGCTTGTAACTGTGTGCTATGTAAAGGTTGTTGTTATTTGGTGAATACACAGTTTGGAAGAAGTTCATAAATAAATTAGATGTATTGACCATTTGTTGCAGATTTGACTTAATAAAATAAGGAGTTAGGTAGGTTATGACTACACCACTTATCATTGATGCACTTACAAAATGATTTTGGACCATTTGTTAGGCCAGTATCTATACCTTTAATATAGTTGCTAAACCAAATTTCAGACAGTTGTTGACATTCAGCTCTTAGGTGGGAAACTTCAACATTATCAATTAAATAAGTGTACATTATACTTTGGTGTGGTGTGCATAATACTTTAGTTTTCTAAGAAGTAAATTAATATGAATAGCTTCCAATGATATTCAAATATCCAATTATAATATGTTTCTTCATCTACAAATAATTTCCAATTAATTATTGGATGCTGCAGCAGTACTAGTCATGTTTAACACTGTGTGGTATGACACTTTTGTGCTGATACTTTGCAGTGCTTCATGTGTATTAACACCGCGACAATAAAGTATCAAAGAGTCCTTACACCCAGAGCCAAGCAATGCAATTCACTGCAATAGTGTGATTTGATACAAGATACAACAAAAAGAGACAGAACACGAATAAAGTCAATTAAAGTTTTCCAATCACACCGAAACATTTCAACCTGTCTGTATATTATCGCTTTGTGTCTTTTATTCTCAAAAAGGTTTTATTTTTGAAAAGATCAACTCTCAATCAAAGTCTAGCACAGCTATTAAGTAAATGGAAAACAGATGTTGCTGCTTCTTTATCTGTTTTTACAATATTTGCCCTTATTTCCATGGTTTAGCAAAATATTGTTGTTTTGTAAGGATAGAACCAGTCTCTTTATTTAGATTATTTTTTATGGGCCACTCACTTGAATGGATCACAAAAAAAAGTTTATACTCATATATAGATTAGTAATGTTTTGACCCAAAACAATTTTAAAAAGAACACTTTTATTGAAGTTTGAGTTATTACAAAAGTTTGTAAAAATAAATTTAAATATAAGTAATTTCTAAATATTTTAAAGTGTTTAATAATCACAGATCAGACATAGAATATCTTTGTAACTCATTTATTAAATTTAGTATATTTGAAATTTTTATTACAGATGTATAAGGTGTATCTAATTTTAATAAATTTTTATGCACAAATATGCTTAAAATATTGTGCAATAGAGTACTTAGTTATTCCATTTAACAGATATCCAACATAAAGGATTAACAATATAAACAGGTTAACACAATAAAACAAATGTTTAATTTTTAAAATTCTAATGGCATATAGATTAGAATTTATAAATGAAAAGTTTTTAATCAAACATACTACACTAAAATATCAACAGCACCTTCATTTGCTAGTATTTCCATGTTCTTTCTATTAACTACAATGTTATGTAAAACTGAACAACCTGTTAGGTAGCCTGTCATTTACAATTCTTGACACAATTGATTTAAAACTTCTGCTTGTTACACATTGTTTGCTCCATGAACAAAGTTCTTTTTCTAGGTTTAAATTCTTGACATTGAACGTGCTGTAAATCACTTTCTATTTTATAAATAGAATTTGTTTAAAGAGATCACAATCACTGCAGAAAAATATAACTGGTCATTGTTTTAATAATCTTAATGGTTAATAAGTTAATAAAGAATAATCAGTTTCTATGCTTGAATGTTCTTGCAAGTTCCACAATTTGTATCCATACTTTTATTGATGGCCTATTTATCAATTCAGAAAAAAACTTTGTTTTCTTATGATAATCACCTAATCATGTTTGTTTTAAAAATAATTGGAACCATAAATTTGTACCCGATAAAACTTCATTTTTACGAAGATATAAAACATTAGTTATAAAAGATGGGTATAAATTATTTATAGTTAAAAATTTACAATTTAACACAAAAGTGTTAAAAGAAAACAACGAAAAGTTAGGTTATGTGTAAACTTGTAAACATCAAAAGTGATCAACTTGTTTTTAAAAGAAGAAAATGAAAAGTTAGGTTATATGTGTTTAA